ACCGCGTTCAAACCTTGAACGCGAAACGCGCGTTCAATGAACGCGCGGTAACATAGTTTATGGATCTTTTCAAGACTTTCACTCATATGGGTCCAAACAGACAAAGATTGGGGCAGTGATAAGTTCGCTCTACCGAATTCATGGCTGGTCGTCTGATGTTTTTGGGAAGATGCAAGCATTTTTAGCCATTAGGATGGAATTGCTGATAAGGAAGTATCCGCCTAAGCTCATTGCTATGGTTTTCAGGCGTTTTGCGAGGAAAGTTGGCTCCCCTGAGGGTCTGATCATTTCTAGGATGATAGGTTTGTGAGTTTCACCGGGGCGTTTGGTTCCATTGCCAAACTCACTTTTTTTTTTTTTTGGCCCTCTTCTGCGTCTTCGCGACGGTCAGGATGGGTGCTTGTATACTTAGTTTTTGAGGGTGCCAAGCCCTTTTATCTTAGGATAGGCCCGAGAGACAGAGGAAGGGTTTTTTGTTTTCCCAGGTGTTTCTGTTTTTCCCGGTTTCTATGGTTGGACAGTGGGCACCGACGGTTTTCAGGGACTGTATGACTTGGGACCAGGACTTCGCACGTTCTCAACTTTTCGTCCTTCGATTTCCCGGATCGGACGGTTTCGAAGGACACGGGGTGAGGGGTCCTCGTCGTCTGATCCTCCCAAGGTCCGAGTGCGTTTCGTGATTTTCAGACAATATATATATTAATAGGTGTTTCGGCTTACTGGCCCTCTCATTTTCAGTGCGCGTGGGTGTACTTCGGTGAGCAGAACGGATGTGAGGTGCTCTAAGTTTTCCTCCTCAGCAGGCTCTTGTTCTGATCAAGTGCTCCACTGGGTTTGCGCAGCCGCCGGAGGTGACGCTCGTGCTCTATCACCTGCCTGAGTATCGACTACCTGCCACAGAAGGACGATCCGACTAGGAGCTGTGCCCAGTAGACAGCTGTACGGATTTCCAGACGACGTGTTCTGTGCTGTCTTTTGTGCTGGTGCCTTGGTGTTTGTTGTTCTGTGTTTACAGGTTTTCCGCATCGATGGAGGACATGCAACATCGACGGTCATCCCCTCGCCGGGTTCTTCTTCCGGGTGATTGGTCGACAGCCATGGATAGTGTGGTACTTCTGTTACACAGGCTGATGCGTGCCTACGTGGGGGATGAGGACAGGGTGGGAGTAGGGTAGTTGGTATAAAAGGAGGCAAGGCGGATGGAATGGCCTCCTACATGGAGTCGTTCGGGTGCTTGGTAGTATTCGAATCCTCCTGATGATGCTACGTGCGGGGTAGTTGAAACGCGTAGAGGACTGGCCGCGTGGGAATTTCGGAAGACTATGTGCTTCTTCCGTTGGAGAAGACTGTTCTTCTCTTTTGGATGCTACCTGGATACGTTTTCTTTCATTGATTCTTTTATAAGCGTGTGTAATGGAATGTATGTATGGGTGTATCTGACATTTCCATTCTCATGCTTGAAGCTGTATTGCGGTACAGTGTTTTCCGTCACCATGCTAATCTGACTGTTTACAACAACAACAACAAAAAAAAAAAAAAAAAAAAAAAAAAAAAAAAAAAAAAAAAAAAAATCTCAATTTTCGGACTTTTTCCAGCAGGTGCTGCTCCCCACCAACAGATAGGAGCATCCCCTAGTAGTACCCTCCCTACTAGGGGATGCTTCTATCACCCGCAGCAGTAACCCCCAGTGGGGATTTTCGGCCTTTTTCCAAAAAAAAAAAAAAAACCGTCTCGATTTATGTGTGTCATCCTAGCACAGGGGCCATGCTAATCTTCTGTGTATCGTTCCAATTTTAACGGATGTCGAGAAGGACGATGTGTACCACCCTTTCCGCCGTCCATCCTATCCAGTTCGTTGTGTATGAGCGACATCGGCATTCTCCGCATAACTCCAGCGATACTGACGAGACACAAGTGTAGAAATGGGTAGGGAAGGTGGCCTATCCTGTCAGGACAACCATTGGCTGCCGCTACCAGCAATCACCGCGGATCTTTTCCTTGGCCTCTACAACACCCTGGGCTTAAAATTAATAATAATAATAATAATAATAATAATAATAATAATAATAATATAAAAAAAAGAAAAAAAACGAGACACAACTGTACAACCTCGAAGATGGCAAGAGGAACAGTGCGCGACTGCCACACAATTCTCCACATCTGAAAAGAAAAAAGAAAAAATAAATAAAAATTCTCCACATCAACAATTTCACTAACTCTGCAGACAACTGCGCAACGCGAGCACTTGCATCGACCTTCTTACCCGAATACAATGTACGGTCATTATAGCTGTATTTGAGGCATCTTTCAGTCTATATACAGCTATAATGACCGTAAGTTGTATTCGGGGGAAGAACGTAGTTCACAGTTTGGTGCATTTGTGTGCAATGAGCATTGTTGTGCAAGAAATCCCCCCTAAGCTTCCCATTCTCCTCCCGCCCTCCCTCCCTCCCTCCCTCTCTCCCTCCCGGGAAACTGAATCGAGACTCATTTGGCCAGCTGCACTCACCAATTGATGATTCTTACTTGGCCAGTTTTCAGGCTACTAGCCTAGGCGCTTTGTTGCTTTGTTGCTTTGTTGCTTTGTCTATTTGAAACTACCACTTTGTACTTGCTTGCCGGTTTGCATGTTTGACACTTTACTCTTTTTGGCTTGATTGCATCTGGATTCGAACTGGGTTCACACATACATTCACATTGCAAACACCAATCTCTCTTACATGCAGAAAAGTTGTGTTCATAAAAAGGAAACATATGTCCCAGTCATCAGAGCTGGGTAGCACTTATGCCAGAGAGTGAACCATAATCGATGCACTCTAGAAATGACAGAATGAACAACGCCTTCCTTCCCCTTTCCCCACCTCTCTCCCCTCCCC